ACAAAGGGAGAAAAAGAAATAATAGTAACTTGGTCCAGAGCATCTACCATTATACCCACAATGATTGGGCATACTATTGCTATTCATAATGGAAGGGACCATTTGCCTATTTATATAACGGATCGCATGGTAGGTCATAAATTGGGAGAATTTGCACCCACTCGAAATTTCCGGGGGCATGTGAAAAATGATAATAGATCTCGTCGTTAATAATTAATATTATTAAAAAAAAGTGAATATAGATACCTATCGTTCATTACTAAGAGGTAAACCCTATGATAAAGAAGATAAAAAAGCATCCATCTACAGAAGTATACGCTTTAGGTCAACATATATGTATGTCCCCTCACAAAGCGCGAAGAGTAATTGATCAGATTCGTGGCCGTTCCTACTACGAAACACTGGTAATACTCAAACTCATGCCTTATCGAGCATGTTATCCTATTTTTGATTTGGTTTATTCGGCAGCAGCAAATGCTCGTTGCAATATGGGTTTCAACGAAGCAGATTTAGTCATTAGTAAAGCGGAAGTCAACCAAAGTACTACTGTGAAAAAATTAAAACCTCGAGCTCGAGGGCGAAGTTATCCCATAAAACGACCCACTTGTTCTATAACTATTGTATTGAAAGATACACTTTTGTCTGAGTTTTCTTCAGACAAGTTGAAAAGATACCAATACAACATATTAGACTTAAACAAACCTGATGGATGGATAACGAAAGAAAAGTACCCAGATATGACGTCTTATGACATGTATAAGAATGGGGGATTATGGGACAAAAAATAAATCCACTCGGTTTTAGACTTGGTGTAACCCAAGGGCATCATTCTCTTTGGTTTGCACACCCCAAAAAATATTCCGAAGGTTTACAAGAAGATCAAAAAATACGAGATTGTATCCGGAATTTTGTACAAAAAAACATGACAAGAGTCTCTGGTGTTGAGGGAATTGCACGTATCGAAATTCAAAAAAGAATTGATCTTATTCAAGTGATAATCTTTATGGGATTCCCAAAGTTATTAATAGAAGGAAAATAAATTGCACATGTCGAATGGATCAGAGAAGGAAGGATTCCTCTACAAACCATTCGAGCTAAAATTGATTATTGTTGCTATCCAGTTCGAACTATCTATGGGGTATTAGGCATAAAAATTTGGATATTTGTAGACGAGCAATAATAAGCCCTTACTCAACTTGTGTTTACGTTTTAGTCAATGATCGACCAAGAAATGACAAATCAGTCTTTTTCGTTTAAATAAAAAATGAGCAATTCTATAAGGTTAAATAAAAATGAAATTAATCATTTTAGAAAATTGCTATGCTTAGTGTGCGACTCGTGGGTTTTTTTAAGGTTAGGATTAAAACCAAAAAGAAGGATCAGCCCATATATAATCTGAACTAATAATTATAAAACTAATAACCAACTCATCGCTTCGCATTATCTGGATCTAAAAAACCAACCAGTCAAGATATGTTATATTGGTCATATCATTGTAGCAACTGAAATCTTTTTTGCATAAAAAAAAATCCGATTATGAGTTGTGAAGCAATAAAAGTATGCGGATAAATAGAAGGGTGAAAGAAAGAGAGAAAAAGAATATGAATGATATATGATTCCAATATGTAAGGTCGATGGGTCATCTCATAAAAAGTAGTGTAATAAAGCATTAAGACTGATGGATTCATAATTAGATAAATCTGTTCATAGAATAGAACAAAAAAGCCAAGAGCCCCAAGACAATAAAGACTGAGAAGATTGATTCAAGAACAAATTTTAGTTTGATTAAGGACTCCATTATAGAATAAAGACCTAACCATTAATCGAGAGGCGATGGGAACGAGGGAACCCGTAAATACATAATATTCTATTGAAAATGAATCCTAATAATTCATTGGGTAGGATGGCGTAAGGAACCCAAGACCAATCCATTTATTATGAGAAGTCGGTTCATGGGCTAACTAACCCGAGAACCGAAACACATATAAAAAGAGGAAATATTCGCCCGCGAACATTTCAATTTTATTAGATTTATAAATTTGGGTCGATCAAATATAAGACTAGATAAAAAAAAGAAGGCAAAACAAAATAAAGGTTTATTATTATTATAACTTTCTAATAAAATAAAAAATAACAAAACGAGATTATATTATCTATTATTTTTTAGAAAACTATAAAAAAAAAATGATTCTATTATTCATTCTAGAATCTATAAAGAGTTTAGTTTTCTATCAAAAGAAGATATTAAAATTTCTAATAGATTAATTAAATTAAATCTCAAAGAATCCCATGATTCAATCTATTATTCAGTAAATACATGTACATTTTTTTGAATCGTTTCATTCGCGAGGAGCTAGATGAGAAGAAACTCTCATGTCTGGTTCTATAGTAGAGATGGAATTGAGAAATAACCATCAACTATAACCCGAAAAGAACCAGATTTCGTAAACACCATAGAGGAAGAATGAAAGGAATATCTTATCGAGGCAATCGTATTTGCTTCGGTAGATACGCTATTCAAGCACTTGAACCGGCTTGGATCACATCTAAACAAATCGAAGCGAGACGAAGGCAATGACACGAAATGCATGACGAGGCGGAAAAATATGAGTACGTATATTTCCAGACAAACCCGTTACACTAAGACCCACAGAAACACGTATGGGTTCAGGGAAAGGATCCCCCGAATATTGGGTAGCTGTTGTTAAACCAGGTAGAATACTTTATGAAATGAGTGGAGTAGCCGAAAATATAGCCAGAAAAGCTATTTCAATAGCGGCATCAAAAATGCCTATACGAACCCAATTCATTACTTCGGGATAGAAATGTAGAATCAAAGGAAAGCGGTCTTTGTTTGAGATGAAAAAAAAACAATTGAAGATTTCTTTTTTTTTTTTTTTACTTCACCCTTTGCATTGAAAGAAAAGATTCCAAAATAATATGATTCAACCTCAAACCCTTTTGAATGTAGCAGATAACAGCGGAGCCCGAGAATTGATGTGTATTCGAATCATAGGGGCTAGTAATCGATGATATGCTCTTATTGGTGACGTTATTGTTGCTGAAATCAAGAAAGTCGTCCCAAATACACCTCTAGAAAGATCAGAAGTGATTAGAGCTATAATTGTACGTACTTGTAAAGAACTCAAACGAGAAAAAGGTATGATAATACGATATGATGACAATGCTGCAGTTGTTTTTGATCAAGAAGGAAATCTAAAAGGAACTCGAATTTTTGGTGCGATTGCCCGAGAATTGAGACAGTTAAATTTCACTAAAATAATTTCATTAGCACTTAAAGTATTATAAGATGAGACCATGAGATAGTTATAGTATTTGAATGAAATTAATTAGTAGATGTGTATCACATATATACCTTTTAAAATTAATAACTATTTAATAAATTAATAAAAAAAAGCAGGTTGATTAGATCAAAATGAAAAGTAACCAATAATTTTCGTATTATGGATAAGGACACTATTGCTAACATAATAACCTCTATTCGCAATGCTGACATGAATAGAAAAGAAATGGTTCGAATACCGTCTACTAACATCACCGAAAACATTGTTAAAACACTTTTACGAGAAGGTTTTATTGAAAACATAAGGAAACATAAGGGAAAGCAACAAGGATTTTTGGGTTTTAACCCGACGACATAGAAGAAATAGGAAAGGACCATATAAATCGATTTTAAATTTAAAACAGATCAGTAAACATAGTCTCTGAATCTATTCTAACTATCAACAAATTCCTAGAATTTTAGGCGGAATGGGCATTGTAATTCTTTCTACTTCTCGAGGTATAATGACCGACCGAGAAGCTCGACTACAGGGAATCGGCGGAGAAAATTTGTGTTATATATGGTAATCTTTATGATATTCAAATAACTTCCCTATATTGTAAAAAAAAAAAAGAGGTGGATTTGTAATAGCACTCCCCTTTCATTAATTGATACTTTGAAACGGGTTTCATCTGGAATGAAAGAACAAAAAAGGATTTATGCAGATTTAATTACTGAATCACTTCCCAATGGTATGTTTGGGGTTTGTTTAGATAATGAGGATCAGGAAGGATTCGACATAGTTTTATACATATACTAGGTCATATAGAGTCAAAATTGGAGTAAGGTGTTAGGATTCAACCAGAACCAGAGGGCGTATAATTTAGAGACTACGAAACAAAGATTCGAATGATTAGGTGAAGTAGTCTTTTGACTTGCAATATTCTTTTTTGTAGGGATACAATTCGAAATTGAAAATTTCAAGAAACTTATTTTCTTCCAATAAGGGGATTCGGAATTAAGGTAAGGAATGACAAATATGAAAATAAGGGCCTCCATTCGGAAAATTTGTGAAAAATGCCGCCTGATCCGTAGGCGGAGACGAATTATGGTAATTTGTTCCAATCCGAGACATAAACAAAGACAAGGATAATCTTTATAAAAAAAGGACCCCTAAAGGCCACCCACGATATACACATAAAAAGAAATTAAAGGATCCGTTTTGACATGAAATGGATATATCCATATATCTCTGACTTAAATTTATGAGATGATAAAATATGGCAAAACCCATAGCAAGAATCGGTTCACGTAGAAATGGACGTATTAGCTCACGTAAAAGTACGCGTAAAATACCAAAGGGCGTTATTCATGTTCAAGCAAGTTTCAACAATACAATTGTGACTGTTACAGATGTACGGGGTCGGGTAATTTCTTGGTCCTCCGCTGGTACTTGTGGATTCAAAGGTCCAAGAAGAGGGACACCATTTGCTGCTCAAACCGCAGCAGGAAATGCTATTCGGGCAGTAGCAGATCAAGGTATGCAACGAGCAGAAGTCATGATAAAGGGCCCTGGTCTCGGAAGAGATGCAGCGTTAAGAGCTATTCGTAGAAGCGGTATACTCTTAAGTTTCATACAGGATGTAACCCCTAGATGCAGCGTTAAGAGCTATTCGTAGAAGCGGTATACTCTTAAGTTTCATACAGGATGTAACCCCTATGCCACATGAATCGAATCACTGTTCGAGACCCAGGATTCTAATAATCTCGCCGGTACGGAAACCATTAAAAGAACACCCAATAACTTATTTGGCACTCTACGAAGGATTTCAAATACGGGAAAGAAATACCATTCCGACAATATTTCCAAAGGAGTTGCAAATGGATCTGCGGGTTCACCAATCATTGATGGTTCTAGAACCGTTAAACCCACGTAGTACCAAGAATTACTACTGGAAAAATATATAAAAGATCATTGGGCCATGCGGGTTCTCTGTAATAATTATGACCCATACCCTTAGCCAATTTAGCTCTTAATACAGGATCATTCAAATCTGTTTTTTTTGTTATTAGGATAGGTGAATTATTATGGATCCATCCCCCGAAAGAACCGGACATGATAATTTTTCATCATCCGGCTCGAGCACAAATCAAACGAACCAACTGGATGCAGATAAAAAATCGCTATCTTATCCAAGCATATATAAAATAAATGATTGATTCCATGTAAGAAAAAATTTAGCAGATTCTGTTTTCCAGAGTTACAATTATCCATTGCACCGAATTCAGTTCTTACAGATAACAGATAAATGCTCAATACCCAAGTAGGCTTACAAAGTTGATAATGTTCAAGTGCTTTCTGGGTCGTCTCAGACCTTGCGATGGGGCTTTAGCCCCCAAAAAAAATTAAAATATGGATACTTTTTACATCCAAAGCAAAGGATTTACTTGTTACTAATAGAGTCTAGCCTATGTTCTTCTTTAGATCCCTTGTTTCACTCCGATAGTATCATAAATCGAGTCAATGCAGAGGAAATGAATGCATTTTCATACTATTAAGTAAGTGAAATAGATAAAACATAATCTGAATTATGCCAGATATATCACCTATTCTACTGGATCTTACGGAGCCTGGTCATGCACGACATGGTCAAGTCTGATCATAGAAAAGATTCTCTTCAAGCGAACCAGCCTACCCTCTGTATGGAGCTTTCGCGGTGGTTGGAATAAAGACACATTTGGTTGTGAATCCCAATGTGGCAGATAAAAAGACATATATCCACACGGCCCAATCAATAGTTCAAGTCACACACTCCCATAATCCATTTTCTCTTCGAAGAATTCCCTTCAACTATTATTGAAAAATAACGAATAAAATTTCGTGGAGTTGAAGGGAAATATCCCAATACATGTCTTATTTTTCAATAAGACATATTTGCAGCAATGAAATACTCTTCTTCCTCCCCCGAGTAATCATAAATAACTAATTACAAATCTATGATTTCGATTCTCTATAAAGGACCAGAAATGCCTTGCTTACGTATCATTGGGAAGTGCATTAACATAAATACGGCAGTAAGAAGAGGTAATACAAAAGTGTGTAAACTATAAAAACGAGTCAAGGTAGATTGTCCCACACTAGCACTTCCGCGTAATAACTCTACCAAAGGCGACCCTATTATTGGAATAGCTTCTTCTGGTACACTTGTTACAATTTTGACTGCCCAATAACCAATTTGGTCCCGAGGTAAGGAATAACCAGTTACACCAAAGGATGCGGTCAATACAGCCAGAACCACACCTGTAACCCAAGTCAATTCACGAGGTTTTTTAAATCCACCAGTAAGATACACGCGAAATACGTGCAGGATCATCATTAAGACCATCATACTTGCCGACCATCTATGAACTGATCGGATTAACCAACCAAAGTTAGCTTCCGTCATTATATATTGAACAGAAGCAAAAGCCTCAGTAACGGTCGGACGATAGTAAAAAGTCATAGCAAACCCCGTAGCTACTTGTACTAAAAAACAAGTAAGCGTAATTCCTCCTAGACAATAAAATATGTTGACGTGAGGAGGAACCTTGTACTAAAAAACAAGTAAGCGTAATTCCTCCTAGACAATAAAATATGTTGACGTGAGGAGGAACGTATTTGCTAGTTATATCATCTCCAATCGCCTGAATTTCAAGACGTTCTTTGAACCAATCATACACTTTATTGAGATAGGGAAACCAAGGGGACCCCCTCTGAGAACCGTATATGAGAATTTCGTCTCGTACAACTCAAACAGAAACACCCAAATACCGTTCGTAACGAATGTGTACTAAAAAGTTTCAAACTTCTTAATGCTATGATTCAATTTTTTCTATGAAGATACGAAAGAATCAAAATCCGAAAAGTATTATTTGTAGTTATAATGCCCAAATATCAAGTCGGCTCATTCATATTTATATTGATCATTAGGGGCCTCTTGAATCGTCTATTTACCTATTTTTTTCTTTGATTTGTGTGTAATGCGACTTTACTCTTGTTTTCTTTATTATTGATAGGAATTCTCTTGTTAAGACCCTATGAATCAATTAAAACCTTAGATTCATCCTAGAACCACGATGATTCAAGAAAAAAACCTTTCCTTTCAAAAAAAGTTCCAAAATTCCCTGAGTAAGAACCCTTGGATTATCACTTATTCAATGCTTATTCAATGACTGAATATCATGAAAAAAAGACAAAGAAACGTTTATCCTTTAACCAAAATAAGTATAAACAAAAGAATAAAATTTTTTGAATTTCTCACTTCTAACTCTTTTTTCGGAGTCGGGCCACGAGGTCTGATAAGTATGAATCATAGTTCTAATATTTTTTATAATAGTTTGGAATCTATTTCATATATTCTGTGCTCCAGATACTAGCCTAGACTGAATATCCAAGGAGATAAAATCATCTTGATCAAGATGACCGACTTCTTCTCTATCGTATCCATAGGATCAATTTTAACAAGTCACACACTCATATTCCAGAAATACAAACAAAAGAAATTCCACGATCAAATTACCAAAAAAGAGTGGGCTAAAAAGCGGAAACCTACGTACTTTAGACTTTACTTTTTATTGAAAAGTTATTTAGAGGTTCTTGTGAATCGAATCTAATTGCTTGAAATTCCGTACAATAAAATGGAAGAATTATAAATCTCCAAAATAATAGTTAGGAATATCGCAAATAGACCCATCGCGACACCCATCAAAGGCGTAGTTCCCCACCCAAGAGCCACTTTACCATATTCTGAATTCAATGGTTTCAATAAATCCCCTACAATAGTTCATCTTGGCCCAGATCTAGAACTATCCTCAACTGTTTGTGTAGCCATAAATAATCCTATATTTTTTGTTTATTCACTGAGATCTGTTGACTTTGAATACCATTCGGTTGTAAATAAATGATCTTATCATAGATCCATTGTGGTCTTGAAATTATATAATAATGGAAACAGCAACCCTAGTTGCCATCTCTATATCCGGTTTACTTGTATGTTTTACTGGGTATGCCTTATATACTGCTTTTGGGCAACCCTCTCAACAATTAAGAGATCCATTCGAGGAACACGGGGACTAGTTGAAGTACTGAGCCTCACAATATTCAGTACTTCAATCTAGATAATGAGAAATCATTTCGCCTTTTTAGTTGGAACTTTAGGCGGTTCGCGAAAAAAGATAGCGAAAAAAATTATTCCTAGAGTCAAGACTAAAAGGAATGTATAAACCAATGCTTCCATAGATTTGATTTCGGTTTACAATTATAGCTTCCATACCTGTTTAGTTGGGATCTTTTTTCGGATAAAAAAAAGACCAAGATAAGAGTCAAAGAAATGAAAAACCAGCATTTATGTCAAATCAAAAAATAAAGGAAAAAAGGAACAGAGCAATCTTGTATCAGACTAGACTCTTTTTGTAGTTGGATTTCCAAGTTTTTGGAATGCCCAAATTCTACTTGAGCATCCAAATCTGGGTCAATCCGAGCAAAGACAACTCTGAACAAGGTTCTAGCACCATGCCAAATGTGTCCGAAGAAGAAGAGCAAAGCAAACGAAGCATGCCCAAAAGTAAACCAACCCCTTGGACTGCTACGAAAAACCCCATCGGATTTCAAAGTAGCACGATCTAATTCAAAAATTTTACCCAATTGAGCACGTCTAGCATATTTTTTCACAGTAGCAGGATCAGTATAACTTACTCCATTGAGTTCACCACCATAGAACTCAACAATTACACCGACCTGTTCAACACTATACTTCGATTCTGCTCTTCAAAAAGGAACATCGGCTCTAACAATTCCGTCGCCGTCTACCAAAACAACTGGAAATATTTCAAAAAAGGTTGGCATACGGCATACAAAAAGTTCGCGCCCTTCTTTATCTCTAAAAAGAGGGTGTCCTAACCACCCAACAACTATTCCATCCCCGTTGTCCATGGAACTCGCTCTGAATAATCCACCTTATGCGGTATTATTCCCGATGTAATCATAAAAAGCTAATTTTTCAGAAATTTTAGACTAAGCTTCTGATAAACTTTGATTTTCGGCTAGCCCGGCACTAACCCTTCGATATATTTCTTGCTGGAAGTATCCCTGATCCCATTGATAACGAGTGGCACCAAATAATTCAATCGGGGTAGTTGCTGAACCATACCACATAGTTCTAGCAACAACAAAATCTGCAAAAAAGACAGCAACGATACTACTCGAATGGACGGTTTCAACATTTCCCATATGTAATCTTTTGTATAGACGTTGGGGCGGACGAATACTAAAATGGAATAGGCCCGCTAATATGCCCAATGTACCTGCTGCAATATGATGAGAGGCTATTCCGCTCGGAACAAAAGGATCAAACCCTTCAACACCCCACGCAGGATTTACAGCTTGTACCCTTCCGGTTAATCCATAAGGATCGGATACTCATATTTCCGAACCATACAATCCGGTTACATGAAATGCACCAAAACCAAAGCAACCCAATCCTGAGAGAAATAAATGAATTCCAAAAATCTTCGGCAAATCCAAAGAAGGTTTTCCTGTACGTTCATCACAAAATATTTCTAGATCCCAATACACCCAATACCAGATAGCTACTGAGAAGCACAATCCAGAAAACACAATATGTGCTCCGGCCACACCTTCGTAACTCCAAATACCCGGATTCGTTATAGTCCCTCTTGTGATACTCCAACCCCCCATGAATTGGTTATTCCTAAATGAGTCATGAAGGGTATAACGAACATACCTTGTCTCCACATTGGATCAAGAACTGGATCAAAGTGATCAAAATTGCTAATTCGTATAGGGCCATTGAAACGGCCCAACTAGCAACTAGAGTTGTACGCATTATATGAACAGAAAGAAAACGACCGGTATCATTCAATACAACCGTATGAACATGATACCAAGGCAAACCCATGGAAATACCCCTTTATCAACGAAAAATAGATACTATGTAACTTTATTGCACTAAAAAAAACTATGCTATGGACCTCCCCCTTTGAGGTGAGGGGATTATCTTGGCGAAAAGATTAATATTTGGTCTATTCTTTTAGTAATAATGGAACAATTCTATTCTATTCGTAGGAACAAAAAGAAGCAGATCTATTCTATACTCGATAAGTACCAATACGCAATGGTGGATGGGAGTTGATCCTATTTTTTATGAGTGGATGTATATATATTTGTTCATCATTCAAAAACCTATTCGGAAGAATTTTCCTTTATTCCTTATGTTTTCCTTTTTTATGAACTTATTTAATCTATGTATAAAATATGCTAAAAGATAAAATATGATAAAGAAAGGCCGATCTTATTTATTAAGACAATAAACCCGTTGTTACGCTTCCACATCAAAGTGAGCTATAGTACTTAATTCTTTTTTGTTTGCTTTAATGCCTGTTGGTATTCCAAAAGTCCCTTTTCGAAGTCCTGGAGAAGAAGATGCATCATGGGTTGACCTATAGTGCGACTTGTTAGATATATTGGGTCATATGGTATTTCTTTGTTCTCTTCCCCGATCGAGGTATCCTCTCTTTCGCCCAAGACGGCTTGATTTCATTATAAAAATTTGGAGCTTGAAGTGGAATTAGATCTATTTTTTTTAGGGGTATCCAAATTAATATTATCAATTAGAATAATTTATAGTTTTCTTGGTTGTACTAATAAAATGAAGTATCGAGGCTCAGCTTAGAAAAAACCCAATTTGGAAATTTGGAATCTATCTATTCTATGATTACTACTTGTATCATATTCTATTTATAAATTATAAATAGGATTGATAGAAAACTGTTAATTAATGGAGTAATATGATGACTAGGTTGGTTGAATATTTGTTTACAAGCATGAAGTAAATTGAAAAAAAAAAAAGAAGTCAGTAGCAAAAAGACATGCTATTGGGCCATTTGTCCTATATGTGCAAATCCAAATCGGACAGATCTTTACTCGGAGTAGAGCATAAACCTAAAAGAATTGAAGAAGACCATTCGGGAACAAGAAAATGACATCGCAATTGCAATTTGATCTCGATGAAACAATACATCAATGAAAAGTTAGTTCCATAAATTGAAAATTTAATGAATTGTTTTTTTATTTATTGAAATTTCTAGTATAGATAAATGACAGCAGGCCAAAGGACAAAACTCATCTTTCTTGAAAAATGGAAGGGAAGAAAAAGCCCCTTCATTAAAAGTTAGAAAGAGTCCTCTAAAGAAGGGTACAATCTAAACATTGATTCTTTTTTTCGCTATTTTTTTTGAACGATATGCATCAAAAGGTGCCCGATCTTAAGGGATACAATTTTATCCTAATCAACCGACTTTATCGACAAAGATTACTTTTTTTAAGCCAAGACGTTGAGAGCGAGATCTCGAATCAAATTATTGGTCTTATGATATATCTCAGTATAGAGGATGAGAACAAAGATCAGTATTTATTTATAAACTCTCCCGGTGGAGGGGTAATAGCTGGAATAGCTATTTTTGATACTATGCAATTTGTGAAACTAGATATACATACAATATGCATGGGATTAGCTGCTTCAATGGGATCTTTTATTCTGGTCAGAGGAGAAATTACCAAATGTCTAGCATTCCCTCATGCTCGGCACCAATGAGTTTTTTTTAGACAAAAAAGAAAAACTATGTCTTCGCCATAGAAAATATGAATATTAAGTAATAATAACATGGCACTTTGAATTCGATATGAGAATTTTTTTCTTGTTTCTTTTCTAAACCATTAGGTTATGTATGGAAAGAGTAGTATGAGATAAAATGCATTTGTGATTTTAGCTGATTTATCGGAGGCCTCTTTCAGGGACAAAACCTTTTTTGTTTTGACTCTTAACCATATTTCTGTTATGAAAGACTACCAAATATTTTTTTTAAGGAAAAAAAAAAGGAACTTTGGGATTGCTTAATAACAAACTAAATAATAAAGCAACTGAACCATCCTAGTATTTATTTTTAAATTACTAAAAAAAAAGGAAGGTGGTTATTGGATAATTTACTGGGTCCCATAGATCCTCCATTTTCTATACCTTCCATGGAACTTAAAAATGAATTCCATTGTGGAGCTGTATGCACTGCACAAAGGATGCCTGTATGTTGTTAATCCTGTCTTTTTTATTCTCTTTGACTCATCATGATCATGCGAGATAGAGAAAACCATTTATTAAATCATTAGGGTAATGATCCATCAACCTGATAGTTCTTTTTATGAGGGACAAACGGGAGAATTGATCCTGGAAGCGGGAGAACTACTGACGCTGTGCAAAACCATCACAAAGGTTTATGTACAAAGAACAGGCAAACCCTTATGGGTTGTATCCGAAGATATGGAAAGGGATGCTTTTATGTCAGCAAAAGAAGCCCAAGCTCATGGAATTGTTGATGTTGTAGCAGTTGAATAAAAAATAGCGGGGATTTCACACAAAAATCCGAAATTTGAGATTTTCTCTTCTTACCGGGGGTTAATATAATATTTTCTATTACTTTTAATCCTATTAATTATTAATATGGAATATAGAAGTAATTCATAATCATCTAGTTAGGATTGATCTAAACCAACTCATTATGTATACAATTCAACATGCCAACTATTAAACAACTTATTAGAAACACAAGATAGCCAATCAGAAATATCACCAAATCGCCTGCCCTTCGGGGATGCCCTCAGCGTCGAGGAACATGTACTAGGGTGTATGTGCGACTCGTTCAGACCATGGACCGGGACAAAAGAAAGTATAATTTTTTTTCCGTATCAGTGATAAATACCAGTGAATAAGATAGAATGAATGGAAGAACTCCGTTCACTACCTAAAAATAAATAAAAAAG